GCCCACAGGATGGGTATGGGGTGCATAATAAACATATTAAACTAACTACCATATAGTACGAGGACCTTCGCAAGTTCTAGTGCTGCTCGGGTTAAGCTTAAGAGCGCAGCTCAAAACGAATTTAATGTTATGTTCCAACTCGTTAGGCAACTAGCCGGAGAAAATCTTAAAAAAGCACATGAAAAGATAAATGTACATAATCAAAGTAGGTTCATTCAGAGCAGGAGATAAAGTTCAGGAACTGGTACCTGATCATACCTTAAATTCTCATTATTTAGGACCTATGTAAGTGGAGGAGGAAAACGTCCGTCCACATTTATGTGGTTGTTTCTCTGGATGACTTTCCAGGTTGATGAGCCAGACGTGTAACAAGACATCAGTGGAATACATATATGACAGTTTATTTTACAATTATTACATCATCAATGATCATTGATGTCTGGACTATCTAAGCTGCACAACACTGATATAACAACACTGCTTCAAAACTACACATATTTTCAGATTCCCTTATAATATGTAATGTTGTCTTTCTAGATGAGTATATTGGTAACGCTAAACACATTAAATTATCTTTTTATATGACTCGTCCAGAGAAACTCCAGCTACAACCAGAGATTAATTTTCTAAGTAAAAAACTGTTTAGGAGGGGGGCGGGGGATTCCACAACTCCATGAACATTGTCTTGTATATTAGAGAAGAAGTTGGAGGACAGAGTGTTGATGTGTGCAGATTATAGGAAGGTTAACAACCTCACACAGCCAAACACCTTCCCACTTCTACACATGGATAGTAATGTGGATATTACTGGATGAACTAAGTGTCATCAAACTCGACTTGCTTAAGGGATATTATCAGGTCCCATTAAGTGATCAGGTGAAGAGGAATAAACCTTTATAGACCCAGAGAGCCAGTATTATTATACATCCAGAGAGTCAGTATTATTATACACCCAGAGAGTCAGTATTATTATAAACCCAGAGAGTCAGTATTATTATACACCCAGAGAGTCAGTATTATTATAGACCCAGAGAGTCAGTATTATTATACACCCAGAGAGTCAGTATTATTATAGACCCAGAGAGTCAGTATTATTATACATCCAGAGAGTCAGTATTATTATAAACCCAGAGAGCCAGTAATATTATAAACCCAGAGAGTCAGTATTATTATAAACCCAGAGAGTCAGTATTATTATAAACCCAGAGAGTTAGTATTATTATAGACCCAGAGAGTCAGTATTATTATAAACCCAGAGAGTCAGTATTATTATAGACCCAGAGAGTCAGTATTATTATAGACCCAGAGAGTCAGTATTATTATAGACCCAGAGAGTCAGTATTATTATAGACCCAGAGAGTCAGTATTATTATAGACCCAGAGAGTCAGTATTATTATACACCCAGAGAGTCAGTATTATTATAGACCCAGAGAGTCAGTATTATTATAGACCCAGAGTCAGTATTATTATACACCCAGAGAGTCAGTATTATTATAAACCCAGAGAGTCAGTATTATTATAGACCCAGAGAGTCAGTATTATTATAGACCAGAGAGTCAGTATTATTATAGACCCAGAGAGTCAGTATTATTATAGACCCAGAGAGTCAGTATTATTATAGACCCAGAGAGTCAGTATTATTATAGACCCAGAGTCAGTATTATTATACACCCAGAGAGTCAGTATTATTATAGACCCAGAGTCAGTATTATTATAAACCCAGAGAGTCAGTATTATTATACACCCAGAGAGTCAGTATTATTATATACCCAGAGAGTCAGTATTATTATAGACCCAGAGAGTCAGTATTATTATAGACCCAGAGAGTCAGTATTATTATAGACCCAGAGTCAGTATTATTATACACCCAGAGAGTCAGTATTATTATAGACCCTGAGAGCCAGTATTATTATAGACCCAGAGAGTCAGTATTATTATAGACCCAGAGAGTCAGTATTATTATATACCCAGAGAGTCAGTATTATTATACACCCAGAGAGTCAGTATTATTATAGACCCTGAGAGCCAGTATTATTATAGACCCAGAGAGTCAGTATTATTATAGACCCAGAGAGTCAGTATTATTATAGACTCAGAGAGTCAGTATTATTATAGACCCAGAGAGTCAGTATTATTATACACCCAGAGAGTCAGTATTATTATAGACCCAGAGAGTCAGTATTATTATACACCCAGAGAGTCAGTATTATTATACACCCAGAGAGTCAGTATTATTATACACCCAGAGAGTCAGTATTATTATAGACCCTGAGAGCCAGTATTATTATACACCCAGAGAGTCAGTATTATTATAGACCCAGAGAGTCAGTATTATTATACACCCAGAGAGTCAGTATTATTATACACCCAGAGAGTCAGTATTATTATAAACCCAGAGAGTCAGTATTATTATACACCCAGAGAGTCAGTATTATTATACACCCAGAGAGTCAGTATTATTATACACCCAGAGAGTCAGTATTATTATACACCCAGAGAGTCAGTATTATTACACACCCAGAGAGTCAGTATTATTATACACCCAGAGAGTCAGTATTATTATAGACCCAGAGAGTCAGTATTATTATAGACCCAGAGAGTCAGTATTATTATAGACCCTGAGAGCCAGTATTATTATAGACCCAGAGAGTCACTATTATTATACACCCAGAGAGTCAGTATCATTATAGACCCAGAGAGTCAGTATTATTACACACCCAGAGAGTCAGTATTATTATACACCCAGAGAGTCAGTATTATTATAGACCCAGAGAGTCAGTATTATTACACACCCAGAGAGTCAGTATTATTATAGACCCAGAGAGTCAGTATTATTACACACCCAGAGAGTCAGTATTATTATAGACCCAGAGAGTCAGTATTATTACACACCCAGAGAGTCAGTATTATTATAGACCCAGAGAGTCAGTATTATTACACACCCAGAGAGTCAGTATTATTATAGACCCAGAGAGTCAGTATTATTACACACCCAGAGAGTCAGTATTATTATACACCCAGAGAGTCAGCATTATTATACACCCAGAGAGTCAGCATTATTATACACCCAGAGAGTCAGTATTATTATAAACCCAGTGAGTCAGCATTATTATACACCCAGAGAGTCAGCATTATTATACACCCAGAGAGTCAGTATTATTATACACCCAGAGAGTCAGTATTATTATAAACCCAGTGAGTCAGCATTATTAATACACCCAGAGAGTCAGCATTATATACACACCCAGAGAGTCAGTATTATTATTAAACCCCAGTGAGTCAGCATTATTATACACCCAGAGAGTCAGCATTATTATACACCCAGAGAGTCAGTATTATTATACACCCAGAGAGTCAGTATTATTATAAACCCAGTGAGTCAGCATTATTATACACCCAGAGAGTCAGCATTATTATACACCCAGAGAGTCAGTATTATTATAAACCCAGTGAGTCAGCATTATTATACACCCAGAGAGTCAGTATTATTATACACCCAGAGAGTCAGTATTATTATAAACCCAGTGAGTCAGTATTATTATACACCCAGAGAGTCAGTATTATTACACACCCAGAGAGTCAGTATTATTATAGATCCAGAGAGTCAGTATTATTATAGACCCAGAGAGTCAGTATTATTATAGACCCTGAGAGCCAGTATTATTATAGACCCAGAGAGTCACTATTATTATACACCCAGAGAGTCAGTATCATTATAGACCCAGAGAGTCAGTATTATTACACACCCAGAGAGTCAGTATTATTATACACCCAGAGAGTCAGTATTATTATACACCCAGAGAGTCAGCATTATTATACACCCAGAGAGTCAGTATTATTATACACCCAGAGAGTCAGTATTATTATACACCCAGAGAGTCAGTATTATTATACACCCAGAGAGTCAGTATTATTATAGACCCAGAGAGTCAGTATTATTACACACCCAGAGAGTCAGTATTATTATAGACCCAGAGAGTCAGTATTATTACACACCCAGAGAGTCAGTATTATTATACACCCAGAGAGTCAGCATTATTATACACCCAGAGAGTCAGTATTATTATACACCCAGAGAGTCAGCATTATTATACACCCAGAGAGTCAGTATTATTATACACCCAGAGAGTCAGCATTATTATACACCCAGAGAGTCAGCATTATTATACACCCAGAGAGTCAGCATTATTATACACCCAGAGAGTCAGTATTATTATACACCCAGAGAGTCAGTATTATTATAGACCCAGAGAGTCAGTATTATTACACACCCAGAGAGTCAATATTATTATAGGCCCAGAGAGTCAGTATTATTACACACCCAGAGTCAGTATTATTACACACCCAGAGAGTCAGCATTATTATAAACCCAGAGAGTCAGTATTATTACACACCCAGAGAGTCAGCATTATTATAAACCCAGAGAGTCAGTATTATTAACACACCCAGAGAGTCAGTATTATTACACACCCAGAGAGTCAGCATTATTATAAACCCAGAGAGTCAGTATTATTACACACCCAGAGAGTCAGTATTATTACACACCCAGAGAGTCAGCATTATTATAAACCCAGAGAGTCAGTATTATTATCAAGTGACTTTGACTTGCACAAATTATCTGCCATATTTAAAAAGTTGATCTGTTTAGCTATTAATAAGTTAGAAGTAAGACAAACTTAACTAGATGACTTAGATATTTCTCACACCTGGAAGTGCTTATCCAATGATTAAGAAAACTTTTCAAGATATTTAAAATATATAATTAACAGTGAATCTTAGTATATCAACTCAGCATATCAGTATATCTCTATTTACTATTGTTTTGGAAAGTTTTTAACTGAGAGACCCAATAACTGATATAATTATTCTTATAGGAAAAAATCTTATAAATTATAGGTAAGGTTGTTATAGACTAACATTAATTACCTGTTAGCTACATCACTTACACTAACATGCAGGAGAAGAATATAACAAAATAAGCAACAGAGTTAACACATACTTGTTAGCTTCATTGGCCACCTTAAACGTCTCCCACTCTGCAGAATGTTGTTCTCCTTGCAGGTTGGTAGCGATCACCTTGAGTCGGTAACGACGACCTCCGCTAGTCAGGGCGTGAAGGTTGTCATTACCTGCAGGTGATCACAACACACTGACATTCACAATCTTCACTGATAATGTAACAATATTCAACATGTACATCATATGTACTTTATAATTTATACTGAGAGCTACAGTAACTACAACACAACACATGGCACTACATGAAATGCAACATAGAGTTTCATGAACTACAATACGTCAGAATGAACTACAAGATAACAGGTCTTACCCAGCCAATATTCTCCACGTGGGTCACCGAAGCCAGTCTTGTAGTCTTGCCAGGGCCTGTTGAAGTTCTCTTGTGGAGTCTGGCGCTGGCGGAAGAGAAACACCGTCCACATGTGTTCCTCTTCTATCGTACACAGTACACTCACACCTTCTGCAGAACTGTTTAACACTTTCGTTATAGCTACACTCTGTGTGTTTGTTTTTAAGACACTGACATTGTGCATCTAGATATGAGGTATGAGTCACCATACAAGGTCAACTGAGGCAGTGTAGTGTTTGATACTGTCACTTACACTGTCAAGTAACATCCAGGTATGAGGTATGAGTCACCATACAAGGTCAACTGAGGCAGTGTAGTGTTTGATACTGTCACTTACACTGTCAAGTAACATCCAGTATGAGGTATGAGTCCACCATACAAGGTCAACTGAGGCAGTGTAGTGTTTGATACTGTCACTTACACTGTCAAGTAACATCCAGGTATGAGGTATGAGTCACCATACAAGGTCAACTGAGGCAGTGTAGTGTTTGATACTGTCACTTACACTGTCAAGTAACATCCAGGTATGAGGTATGAGTCACCATACAAGGTCAACTGAGGCAGTGTAGTGTTTGATACGTCACTTACAACTGTCCAAGTAACATCCAGGTATGAGGTATGAGTCACCATACAAGGTCAACTGAGGCAGTGTAGTGTTTGATACTGTCACTTACACTGTCAAGTAACATCCAGGTATGAGGTATGAGTCACCATACAAGGTCAACTGAGGCAGTGTAGTGTTTGATACTGTCACTTACACTGTCAAGTAACATCCAGGTATGAGGTATGAGTCACCATACAAGGTCAACTGAGGCAGTGTAGTGTTTGATACTGTCACTTACACTGTCAAGTAACATCCAGGTATGAGGTATGAGTCACCATACAAGGTCAACTGAGGCAGTGTAGTGTTTGATACTGTCACCTACACTGTCAAGTAACATCCAGGTATGAGGTATGAGTCACCATACAAGGTCAACTGAGGCAGTGTAGTGTTTGATACTGTCACTTACACGTCAAGTAACATCCAGGTATGAGGTATGAGTCACCATACAAGGTCAACTGAGGCAGTGTAGTGTTTGATACTGTCACTTACACTGTCAAGTAACATCCAGATATGAGGTATGAGTCACCATACAAGGTCAACTGAGGCAGTGTAGTGTTTGATACTGTCACCTACACTGTAAAGTAATTATTATAAAGCTTCTTCTAAGTAACTAATGTTATCATATAATAATGAATTCACAAATTTTGTAAAAAAATCAGGATATATTTTTCATATTATCTTTAATAAAATCGTCAAATGAGAGTCTACACAGTCAAGTGAGAGTCTACACAGTCAAGTGAGAGTCTACACAGTCAAGTGAGAGTCTACACAGTCAAGTGAGAGTCTACACAGTCAAGTGAGAGTCTACACAGTCAAGTGAGAGTCTACACAGTCAAGTGAGAGTCTACACAGTCAAGTGAGAGTCTAGACCAGTGGTTCCCAAACTGGGGGTAAATTACCCCCTGGGGGTAATTTAACCATTTTTGGGGGGTAATGGAGGGGTGACAGAAAAAAAATTATGAATTCTGAAAATCAAGAAAACAATGCGGTACCCGGTATGAGGATTATTGTTAACTTTGTCTTAGTATATAAAGTTGTAAAGTAAACCTATTATAAGTAAGTAATAAAGTTAAACCAAATAACAATAAACATCAAAAACTAATATACAGTATTATAAAAGAAGAAATATATAGCTAAGTGTGTGGAAAACCCAAAAGTATTTTGACAAGTATGCTTCAGGACAAAAGTCACTCAGTAGCCCAGATCGACCTGTCCAGTACACGTCACTCACTTCCTGAGGCTGCCTCTATTTCACACTGTCAGTTTATCTGTGAGCATCAGCCGAGGTAGACATAAGCTGGTATGTATGTGTACTGCCCTGTGCAGTATATAGTTAGTATTTACCCACTGTTACTGTGAATTTGTAGCTATTATTAATTTTATATATAATGTATGTGTGGTTCTTACGTTTTCAATGGTTTTGCTAGGATTAGCAGAGTATGCGAGGCTGTATACGTTCACGTTTAGCCACGTTTAGCGGCAGCGGCAGCAGCGACTTCCAAGCTCCGTACTTTTCTCCAACTACCAGAGCTACCAATTCTCCTATGATGACCTAGTTACAAGCAAAACTGCACTACCCAACGTAGCACCCAGAATGACCAAAGATTACCAACAGTGAAACCTACAAATCGAAAAAATAGAGATCAAAGGAAGACTGCAAACAAACCGAAAGCAACACCCTGCTGCCAGCCGAACAACGTAACCCTAAGCTTTGTATACTACAACTTCTTCTTAACTACAACAATTCCTGTAGTATTATGAGGCGCAATCTAAGAGGAAACAGCCCCAAAGGGCCAGCAAGAAAACACCGAAAAATCAACTATTCAACAAGTGTAAGTCAGGAGGACGCCGGCCCAGCAACCACCCCACTCACCACCACTCAAGGCGACACCACAACAATAACAAACAAACATGGCTGCCACCAGCCCATCCTCCCCTCTCTCCCCGGATTCAACCTACCAGTAGTCTCTCAGGTATGACCAACGATCCAGATACCCTAAAGTCATGCATCTCCAACTTAGTTATTGAAAATATGAATCTTCGAGAGACACTAACAAAACAAGACACCAGGATGACACAACTCGAAAACAAAATCCTCAGTCTTGAACAAAAGTTATCAACACCAGGAATGACTAACTGTGACAAGACTATCCAAACAGTCATAGATAGCCATACCCAACAAATAATATCTCTTAATACAAAGGTTGAAGAAGCAGTAAAAGAATGGAAGAACAACTTAGATAACCAGTTCAGTGACTACTTTGCTCTCCAGAAGATAAAACTGAACAAGATAAACTATCGGACGCAGTAATAGTTAACAGTCCACTTTTTCCCAGTGATATGAACCAAACAAACAGTAAAGAAATTACTCTGCAGATCATAAAGGACCAAACAAGTGTTATTGTACCAGAGTCTGAAATAAAAGAAGCCAGGTTACTAGGATCCCATGGTAGAAAAAGTGTTATGCTTAGATTCCACTCACATGACAGGAAAAAAGACTTAATCATTGCATCTATTAAAGTAAAAAAAGAGGTATACATAAACGAGTGTCTTACCAAAAAACGTCAGAACCTCCTGTATAGAGTCAGAAAACTTAAGCGGGAGAATAATGACACAATACACCAATGCTTCACACGGGATAGGAAAATTCTAGTTAGGAAAACAAATGTAGGTCAACTGTACACAATCACGAACGAGAATGATCTATCACGATTTCTCAGGGATACTAATCTTACAGAGAATAACTAAACAATGTCCAACTTACATCTCTTAGTATTTAAATAATCAACTACCTCATTTTGTGATTTTACTAGTAAGCATAAGTCACCTTATGTGATTTTGTTATTTACTATTGTTCGCTTAAACATTAGCTGAATTGATACTTTCTCTGTCCATATTACTACCTCATATTTTTTTAAATACTATCAATTGATATTACTTACTAAAATTAATAATTATCATTTTTACTAAAATTTCAATTTACTCTTAACATTTTTGACATTTAATAACCATTACTTGTCTAATTACCTTTACCTGTTTTAATACCACATTTACTACTTAGATTACTCTTAATTACCTTGTACTGCCATATAACCTCTAGTATAACTACCAGTGCAATATTGAATGAAATAAACATTACTTTTTCACTTTTTTGTAATCATTATTACTTACTAAAATTTTATTAAACACCATATTTAACTACCAGTCAATTTTACTTTTGTACATTAAACATTATTTATAACTTCCCATAACATTTTGTTGCCAAATTTTCAAGTTTGTATATCAACCCCAACCTTATATTATCCTTTGTACCTGTGTACCTGTGTACCTGGGTACCTGTCTACCATCTTACTATCATATTATAACCAAGACATTACCATTGTTATTTTTTTACTATTATTCTTTGGTACTTTAATTGTGAATTTTATTTTGTCAATTTTAAATCTAGTTATAATCTTGATCTTGTCAACAACCTATACCAGACTCTAGTGCAATTGCAAGTACCATTTCAAATTGTATTTTTATATTATAAGTTTATATTATAATTCCTACCACTGTCCATTTAACTTGTTTACCATTACTTAATTTTAGTCCTTATATATTTTCTCCTTTATTTTAGCTTTATATATCTAACCCTAGTTTATATATTCACAATTGTTTAAAAATAATCAAGGTGCTATTCTCAGGTGCTAAAGTAGAATAAGTTCTCAATTTTGCCATTATATTCCAAAGCTCATTTATTTGATTACCACTTTATTGTTCACTCCAACCTATATTAGTCCCTTTTATATTATAATTTTATACTATAATTCTAACTTTAAAAAATTACCTTTATTGTACTACCTACTATCATATTCCCAAGCTCCATTATTTGATCATCACTTATTTTATTAGTCCCTTTTATATTGTCTCCTTTATTTTAGCTTTAAAAAAAAAACTACCTTAGCTCATTATTTTACATTTGTTAATAATTCAGGTGCTATTTTTTAGCTTAAGGACTATTTAACTTTGTTTTTACTTAATTCTAACTATAGATTCACTACAAATCTTATGTTACAAGCATTGATCCTGATACCAACCTCTTATTTAATGACTTAAATGAATCAAACAGATACTGTAATTACTACACTGCAGAACAATCAAAGGCACTTCTCAGTACCAACAACAACATAACTATCTTTAACTACAATATCAGATCTTTAAGCAAGCATTACGATGACCTCATAGCATTACTAAATTCCTTACATGCCAATATGTCCATCATTACACTAACTGAAACCTGGCTAAAGCTGATAGTACAGATGTCTATGCCATTCCTGGTTACACAGCCATACACAACTGTAGGCCAGACCAACAAGGGGGTGGCACAGCCATATACTACTCAGACCAACTAGAATGTATCACTAATACTTACACAAGGGATGAACATGGGGAATATATAATAGCTAAATCAAATCCAAATACCTACAAAAACCTCTCACATTGATAAACATCTACAGAGTTCCACAGTCAAAACAGCCAATTTAGTCAAAACCTAGGAAGTATGATAACTGATGCACGCATGAACAAAGATCACTTACTACTCTTAGGTGACTTCAATATAAATCTCCTGCAAGACCAGGACCCACACGTTACTGAATTCACAAACACAATGAGTAACTGTAATGTTACTACCAACAGTAAACAAAACCTACAAGAGTTACAGAGACTAGTGTTTCCCTACTTGACCACATCTGGACCAACACCATATCCCCTTTAAAATCAGCATAATTACAGATAATACCACAGACCACTACCCTACTTTCCTCATAACAACTCTTGGTAAACTACCCCAAGACACTACTAAAGTCACCTTCAGACTTCACAATGAGGCAGCCATTAATAACTTCACAACAGCAGTAGCAAACATTGATTGGCACACTGAGCTAGAAATCTATACAGATGTTGACGAATGTATTAATAATTTTCTAAAAAAGACCCAATACCTCTATAACAAGCACTGCCCTAAAAAAAACTAAACAGATGACAGCAAAGAGACTGAACAGTCCCTGGCTAACACCCAGCATTCTCAAATCCATAAATACAAAACACCAATATGAAAAACAGTACAGAATGGGTCACATAACCAGAGACCAAACAAAACGTTACTCGTCAATCCTAACCAGCCTGATAAAAGGGCAAAAAAATTGTATTATGAGAACAGATTATCCAACTTACGAGGTGATATAAAAAAGTCCTGGAAAACCCTATCAGAAATTCTGGGAACAAAAAAGATATCACGAAATAGCGAAATAAAATTATCAAAATCAGATGAACCCCAACTCCCACCAACAGAAACAGCAAACAGACTCAAATGATTTCTTCTCCACTATAGGACAAAACCTTGCCAATAAAATCCCAAGCTCAGATACCCCACCAAATGACTACCTCACCGGCAACTACCCGAACACACTGTTCCTAGCTCCGACTAACCCATACGAAGTCTCCCTTATTATCAACGCACTAAAAAACAAGGCAGGAGATTTAAATACCTTACCACCCTTTATATACAAAAAACTGTCACAAGTGCTATCACCAATCATTGCAACACTCTTTAACAAATCCATAGAATCCTCCACCTTCCCTACAGTACTCAAAATAGCAAGGGTCACCCCGATCCACAAAGGAGGAGACCAAACAGAGTTGAATAACTATAGGCCAATATCCAACTTACACCCTCTCTCAAAAATCTTCGAAAAATTAATTCATAAACGAATCTACTCCTACCTTATCTCCCAAAACATACTCAACCCCTGCCAATTTGGATTCAGGCCTAATAAAAATACTAATGATGCTATTATACACATGCTAGAACATATATACACTGCAATAGAGAAAAAAGAAGTCCCACTGGGGATCTTCATTGACTTACGTAAAGCTTTTGATACAGTTGACCATGACTTGCTCCACGTAAAATTGTCACACTATGGTATAAGAGGGCACTCCCTCAACTACCTCAAGTCATACCTCAGCAACAGAAGCCAATATGTGTACGCAAATAGGGCAAACTCTTCTGTGCAACCAATTACAGTTGGTGTCCCACAGGGAAGTGTCCTTGGCCCTCTTCTCTTTCTCCTATACATAAATGACCTTCCAAATGCTTCACAATTACTCAAACCCACACTATTTGCAGATGACACCACATACGTCTTCTCTCACCCGAGCCCAGTCACCCTAGCCAATACTGTAAATACCGAATTACAGAAAATATCTACCTGGATGAGGACTAACAAACTTACACTAAACATTGACAAAACCTACTTCATTCAGTTTGGTAACAGAGCTACAGATGTCCCTCTTAACATAATGATAAACGGATCACCTATCACAAAGCTAACAGAGCGAAAATTCTTAGGAATCCACCTTGATAATAGACTCAAATTTTATACACATATACAACAAATTTCTAAGAAAATTTCCAAGACTGTAGGCATACTATCGAAGATACGGTACTATGTTCCACAGTCAGCCCTCCTGGCCCTATATCACTCTCTTATTTACCCATACTCACCTATGGAATTTGTGCATGGGGCTCAACAAACAATTAACCATCTCAGACCACTAATTACCCAACAAAAGGCTGCAGTTAGAATGATAACAAATTCTCACTACAGGCAGCACACTCCACCAATATTCAATACACTAAACCTACTCACCATACAAAACATCCATACTTATTACTGCACCTATTACATACATAGAACAACTCTGATATTAACCCTCCCCTCAAACATCTCCTTGCCAACCTCAACAGAACACATGACCATAACACAAGGCATAGATCACTCTTTGATGTTCCTCGTGTCCATCTCACACTATGCAAAAACTCAATGCACATAAAAGGCCCTAAAATCTGGAATTCATTACCTGTAAATATAAAAGAAACACTACCTGTTTATAAATTCAATTCTCTTCTCAAAGATCACTTACTCACCCAAAACCAAATAAATACTGAATAACTGAACCTTATAAATTGTATATCTTAAATGTTTCTCACAATTATATCACATAAATGTTAAACCTAAAACCTAAAACTATTATTTTTTAAATACACTACCTAACAGAATACTCCATACGACTGAATGTACAACAATGCAAGCAACCATATGACCTGTCTTTGTAATACTCATTTGTGCTTTATAGTTATCTGTTTACAATAATGTATTATCACTGATTTCATCATTGCTTAGTTAATTTTAAGCCAGCCCGAAATGCTATGCATAGTATAAGTGGCTTTGGCATGCTGCTCTTATCTGTATTTTTTTGTACCTCTGTATGTATGCTCAAATTGTAAATAAATAAATAAATAAATAAATAAATAAATAAATATTCCTTGTGAAAACTCCACAACTGACCTTATTACATATTGCTTGCGTATATCCTGCCCTACTTACTATGTACGTGGTTCTGTAACTCTGAGGGAGGAAATAACTACAGTTTATTTATAAGATAAACTAGGGAATGTTATGTACCATCATTGTTATATTTAAATTATTATTATTATTATTATTATTATTATTATTATTATTATTATTATTATTATTGTTATTATTATTATATTATTATTATTATTATTGTAATCTGTAAATGATGTGGTCAGTCAATCAATTTTGATTGATGGACTGTCCACATCGACTCAAGGTCGAGGGACTGTTTACCCCATTCTCCTCCTTTGTATTCACTGATGAAGCCACTGTGTGGCGAAACATTTCCTCAATAAAGATATCCAAGAGTTGCACATGTGTCTAATTTATCAATGTGTCGGTTCTCTGAACCATTCTTCTACAAGATTCATAGTGACAGAGTCTGGTTCATTTCTCAGCATTCTAATACCGAATACAGTGTTAATCTCAATAATGGTGTCACTCATACTAGAAATACCAAGCTTCTTCCTCATTTTAAGAACCTTTGTAGATTTAGGACAGCCAAGAATAATCCTGAGAGCTTCATTTTGCATTAACTCCAAGGGTCGGAGAGAACTTTCCCCAGCTAATATCAACATGGGAGCAGCATAATCAATTAAGGACCTAACATAGGCTATGTACATCATTCTCACGATTCTCACATTAGCACCATAGTTGGGGTTGTAGCCAGCAACAGCTTTGAGAGCATTTAGCATAGCTTTGCATTTCTTATTTAGTTGTGGTATAGTGAATTTGTTAAAAGGTACATCTACACCAAGATATCTGTAGGTTTTAACTTAGCTAATGATATCACCCTGCAAATAGATGGGTGGGGGATGTCGTTTGCTTGTTAATATCTTTGTTTTAGAGGAAGATATTAAGAGGCCTAGTCGATTACAAATTGCTTGAACTTCATTAAAAATGGTACTCATCTTCTTATGCATTGTTGTATGTATCATAATGTCATCAGCATAGCTTATAGCTATATGTTTAGGTGAAGCAGGTAAACCATTAAGGAGGGCATTAATCAGAATATTAAATAGCATGGGACCTAGGGACATTTCTTTGGACTCACTTCTAAAGCCTTGGTAGAGGACAGAGGATAGTCTATTTGACAGGCATCCTATTATCCAGCCGAGTAAGCTACCACCAATATTCATTTTGGCTAGTTCATGTAGTATAACGGTTCTGTTTGCGATATCAAATGCAGATTTTAGAAATGTGATAAAACTAACAGAGGTGTGTGCAGTGAGAAAGGTGGAAATACATTTCTGCACACTTTTACCTTTCATGATCCCACAGAGATGAGGGGAAAGTTAGTGTCTGATTCTGTAGTACAGTCTGTTAAGTATCTTTCTTCCAAAAGTTTTACAAAGACAACTAGTTAAGGAGAACAGTCTAAATGTATACAGTTGTTTTTCAGTGTTTTTATATTGCTGATTAATACTTATTTTACATATGAAGGCACAAAGTGGTGATTTGTGTTTAATTTTCTTATGAAGACGAGAAAGAGTAAAGTCTGACAGAGTTGTACATCTGAGAGAATTATACACATCATTGTTAGTAGATTAACTGTCGAAATAATAACTGAGGCTGGAGAAACAACTTACCTCTGAGGGGAGATCCTGTAGACACCACTCTCAGTCACACCTCTATGATGAATGTCCGAGCAGTCTCGTGCAGGAGGGCTGTATACACACCAAGTTAAATTAACCGATAATGTTCCATAATGAAAAACATTCAGTACAGTGATTAATGTCACATTAGTCTTGATTAAATATAATTATTATCAGTGTAATTTTTTATTAAAAACACAAGAACATACGTAGTATTCTCTTTACAATTAGGTGAGTATCTCTCATTGTATAATATTGTTATAAACACTGTGACATACAGGATATACATATACAGAAAACTGTGCATTTCTCAGTAAATAATATATAATAAAAGTTTAATTAATCTCTAGCAAAATGAATGTAATTGTTCTTGAAACAAATAAACGGGAGAAATGCGACTTTAGTGACTTAAGTGGAACAGAGGCATTAAACTTAATAAAGTTATTAACATGACAGTACAGTCGGAATCACGTATAATATTAACACATATTTCTGAGTGGTAACACATTAACACAAGGTGCAGCATGAGTGATAACACATTAACACAAGGTGCAGCATGATAACACATTAACACAAGGTGCAGCATGATAACACATTAACACAAGGTGCAGCATGATAACACATTAACACAAGGTGCAGCATGTTAACACATTAACACAAGGTGCAGCATGAGTGTTAACACATTTAAAACCAAGGTGCAGCATGAGTGTTAACACATTAACACAAGGTGCAGCATGAGTGTTAACACATTAACACAAGGTGCAGCATGAGTGTTAACACATTAACACAAGGTGCAGCATGATAACACATTAACACAAGGTGCAGCATGAGTGTTAACACATTAACACAAGGTGCAGCATGAGTGATAACACATTAACACAAGGTGCAGCATGAGTGTTAACACATTAACACAAGGTGCAGCATGAGTGATAACACATTAACACAAGGTGCAGCATGAGTTAATGGTATTATGTGCGTACTTACACACAAACCATGAACACCAAAAATCTTCCTCAGAGAATATACATATTTATAAGTGCACTCCTAAGATGTATCAGTCCATCTCCATATTTCCAGCTATTTGATAAAAACACATTTACTGGAGGTAAACCTCCCTACGTTAGGTATCCTGCTTGCAAGCAATGCTTCTTAAAGCAGGACCCACCAATGTGCCTCAAGCATGGTCTGTATTTATTACATTCTCCTGAATGTTCTGGCCTCACCAGAGATATTATTCTCAACGCATCTCACAGAAACAAGCAAAAGATTGCAGTCAGCAGGACTCAAATCCTTGTTTGTATACTATCCAGTAGTGTAGCTTAGCTCTCTACATGACGGTTTTAAACACCAAAGTCATGCAGTGAGCTAAGCCTCACTGCTCGGTAAGTGTCAGAATGTTTGTCGAATCCTGTTCCCTGCAATATTTCTGAGAATTATCCTTCATCTGATTCTGTGAGATGGATTATATATATATATATATATATATATATATATATATATATTATATATATAATATATTAATATATATATATATTTATTTATTTATTTATTTATTTATAAAGGGGCAGACCGTAAATTCAAACAAATCTTTCAGTGGGCTGCAGAAAACAATATGAAGTTCTACGATGAGAAATTTCAATTACTTCGATATGGTAAACATGAGGAAATTAAAACTTCATCAGAGTATAAAACAAATTTCAGCCACACAATAGAGCGAAAAACTAACGTCAAAGACCTGGGAGTGATCATGCCAGAGGATCTCACCTTCAAGGACCATAACATTGTATCAATCGCATCTGCTAGAAAAATGACAGGATGGATAATGAGAACCTTCAAAACTAGAGATGCCAAGCCCATGATGACACTCTTCAGGTTGCTTGTTCTATCTAGGCTGGAATATTGCTGCACACTAACAGCACCTTTCAAGGCAGGTGAAATTGCCGACCTAGAAAATGTACAGAGAACCTTCACGGCGCGCATAACGGAGATAAAACATCTAAATTAATGGGAACGCTTGAGGTTCCTGAACCTGTATTCCCTGGAATGCAGGTGGGAGAGATACATGATTATATACACCTGGAAAATCCTAGACCTAGAGGGACTAGTACCAAACTTGCACACGAAAATCACTCCTGACGAAAGCAAAAGACTCGGCAGACGATGCAACATCCCCCCAATGAAAAGCAGGGGTGTCACTAGCACGTTAAGAAACAGTGCAATAAGTGCCAGGGGCCCGAGACTGTTCAACTGCCTCCCAGCATACATAAGGGGGATTACCAACAGACCCCTGGAAGTCTTCAAGCAGGCACTGGACAAGCACCTAAAGTCGGTGCCTGACCAGCCGGGCTGTGGCTCGTACGTTGGATTGCGTGCAGCCATCAGTAACAGCCTGTTTGATCAGGCCCTGATCCACCATGAGGTCTGGTCACAGACCGGGCCGCGGGGGCGTTGACCCCCGGAACTCTCTCCAGGTAAGCTCCAGGTAAACAGACTGACAACACTGTCAAAGATCTTCCCTCAGACTGGCAAAACTGTCAAACGTCTTCCGACAAACTGGTAACACTGTCAAACATCTTACCACAGATGGCAACACTGTCAAACATCTTCCCACAGACTGGCAACACTATCAAACGTCTTACCTCACTGGCAACACTGTCAAACATCTTCCCACAGACTGACAACAGTATCAAACATATAGCCACAGAGTGGCAACACTGTCAAACATTTTTCGGGTGTAATTATAATTGTCGTCTTCTCTTCCTCGCTAATTACATTCCTAACACTTCTTCAGTTACATTTTATTAATGTAACTTCCTTTGTTCAATATTTTTTTTAATTACAAACATAGTGAATCTGGTAAAATTCGCAGATAATTAGTTAACTTTATGCTAATATATTCTAAGACACTTAACTAACCTGGTGATGATATTTTCCCTCAGGTTCTTCTGACATTTATGTAACTGATGCTTTGTGTTATTGTGTTGTGTCTCACATCTGGCACGACGTTCATCAGCTACTGATGCTTCTCTCTCTTGCAGTATGTTTCTGTTTCTCTCAATACTTTCAGTAATTTCATTTAGTCTTGCGAGAACTGTTTCCTTGAACTGGTCATCTGCCGAGAAATGACAATTTGTTAAAAATTAAGCAGAAAAATTTAAACTTTTATTTACCACCTAAATAAAATATTTTTCAAAAAATAACAACAAAAAAAATTATGAAAGAGATAATAGAACAGAATATCTTAGTTGTGTAAGAAGAGACTCTTGAACAGTGTTGCAACACATTAAAACTGCTAACCACACAAACAACTGGGAAGGTGCTAATATCTCACAAAACTTAAAACATATATTACCTGGAGTTTACCTGGAGAGGGTTTCATGGGTCAACGCCCCTGCGGCTCGGTCTGTGATCAGGTCTCATGGTGGATCAGCGTCTTATCAACTAGGCTGTTACTTCTGGCCGCACGCAAGCTGACATACTAACCACAGCTCCGCTGGTCAGGTACTGACTTTAGGTGCCTGTCCAGTGCCTTCTTGAAGACAGCCAGGGATCTGTTGGTAATCCCCCTTATGTATGCTGGGAGGCAACTGAACAGTCTTGGACCCTGGACACTTAATGTGTTGTCTCTCAGTGTACTCGTGGCGCCCCTGCTTTTCATCGGGGAAATGTTGCATCTCCTGCCGAGTCTTTTGCTTTCATATTGAGAGATTTTTGTGTGGAGGTTTGGTACCAATCCCTCCAGGACCTTCCAAGTGTAAATTATCATGTATCTCTCTCGCCTGTGTTCCAGGGAATACAGATCAAGGACCTTCAACCATTCCCAGTAATTTAGGTGCCTTATCATACTTATGTGTGCCGTGAAAGTTCTTTGTTAGTGCTATCGGTCTGTAGTTCTTTGCAATTGCTTTACTGCCACCTTTGTGGAGTGCGGCTATGTCTGTTGTTTTTAGTGTGTGTGGGATGACCCCTGTGTCCATGCTCCCTCTCCATAAAATGCTGAAGGCATGCGATAGCGGCTTCTTGCAGTTCTTGATGAACACAGAATTCCGCGAGTCTGGGCCTGGGGCAGAGTGCATGGGCATGTCATTTATTGCATCTTCAAACTCTTGTGGAGTTAGAATAATATCCGAAATTATGAGGCTAATGTCGCAGAGATTCCATGGCTAACCCAAAAGGGTTTTTTCAGGTATACAGAAGTAAGATTAGGGACAAGATTGGCCCACTTAAGAGTAACTCTGGTCAGATCACTGACAGTGATAAGGATATGTGTGAAATTCTCAATACCTACTTCCTCTCAGTTGTCACCCAGGAAAATACTAACAATATTCCTGAAATAATAGATTATGTAGAACAGGATGATAATAAACTATGCACGATAGCGGTAACTAGTGACATGGTCCTCAGACAAATAGAGAAACTAAAACCTAACAAATCCCCAGGTCCTGATGAACTGTTTGCAAGAGTGTTAAAGGAATGTAAAGAGGAACTTAGCATACCTTTGGCTAATCTTTTTAACATATCACTACAAACTGGCATAGTGCCTGATAAGTGGAAAATGGCAAATGTAATACCTATTTACAAGGCAGGTGACAGGTCCTTGGCTTCGAACTATAGACCAATAAGCCTTACCTCCATAGTGGGAAAATTTATGGAATCAATAATTGCTGAAGCATTTTGTAGCCATCTTGATAGGCACAGATTGATTTAAGAATCTCAACACGGTTTTACAAAGGGGCGTTCCTGTCTTACGAATTTACTAACTTTTTTCACTAAGGTGTTTGAAGAGGTAGATCATGGTAATGAATATGATATTGTGTATATGGACTTCAGTAAGACTTTCGATAGAGTTCCACATCAGAGGCTGTTGAGGAAACTTAAGGCACACGGAATAGGAGGAAAAAAATTTTCCTGGTTAGAGGCATGGCTGACAAATAGGCAGCAGAGAGTTTGCATAACTGAGGAGAAATCAGAATGGGGGCACATCACAAGCGGTGTTCCTCAGGGGTCAGTGTTGGGCCCGTTGTTGTTCACAATTTACATAAACGACATAGATGAGGGAATAAATAGCGACATAAGCAAATTTGCTGATGACACCAAAATAGGCCGTCCAATTCATTCTAATGAGGACACTAGAGAAGTGGCAGATGCAGTTTAATATTGACAAATGCAAAGTTCTAAATGTTGGACAGGTAAATAACCATGCCAGGTATAAACTAAATAATGTAGATCTTATTACTACTGATTGCAAAAAGGATTTAGGAGTTCTGGTTAGCAGTAATCTAAAACCAAGACAACAGTGCATTAGTGTTCGCAATAAAGCTAACAGAATTCTTGGCTTAATATCCAGAAGTATAAATAATAGAAATCCTCAGGTTGTTCTTCAACTCTATATATCCTTGGTTAGGCCTCATTTAGACTATGCTGCTCAGTTCTGGTCACCGTATTACAGAATGGATATAATTGCTCTGGAAAACGTACAGAGGAGGTTGACAAAGATGATCCCATGTATCAGAAATCTTCCCTATGAGGATAGACTGAGGCCCTGAATCTGCACTCTCTCGAGAGGCGTATAAAATTAGGGAAGATATGATCGAGGTGTATAAATGGAAAACAGGAATAAATAAAGGAAATGTAAATAGCGTGCTGAAAATCTCCAGCGAAGACAGGACTCGCAGCAATGGTTTCAAGTTGGAAAAATTCAGGTTCAGGAATGATATAGGAAAGCACTGGTTTGGTAATAGAGTTGTGGATGAGTGGAACAAACTCCCGAGTACAGTTATTGAGGCTAAAGCATTGTGCAGTTTTAAAAATAGGTTAGATAAATATATAAGTGGGTGTGGGTGGGTGTGAGTTGGACCTGACTAGCTTTAGCTACTGGGTCTGGTGCCGTGCTCCTTCCTTATCGGGGGGGACATTGACCTGCTCCGCATGGGTCAGTAGGTCTGTTCCACAGTAGGTCTGTTCTCCACAAGTTCAGTCCTTACACTCTCCCTCACAGACAACCCTGTTCGTCCCCTTTCTCTTCCAAACCCTTCCCCCAAGAGGAGTGCCAGGCCCCTGCGGGTTTAGCTCTCCCCGGGGAGCCGGGAAATAAGATCAGTGTAGTGGTGGAGGCTGCATGGCGAGACTAGTGATGGATGATACACCTAAAATTAATTTAGATGTTCCACGGTACGATCAGTCGCAGTTCATCGGACGTCTGCTTCATTTCTTTGGTATTACAGACTGGAGACTGTTTCAAAACTGACAGAGAGCTTGAGGAAGTGGGTGACGTGTACTTAGCTCCGTGAAGACCTG